CCGGATGAACTTTAAAGACGTGAATGGAACATGTAAGCGGATGAACCTGTAAGACATGATGAACATGTAGCGGATGAACCTTCAGACGTGGTGGAACATGTAGCGGATGAACGCGGTAAGACGTGGTGGAACATGTAGCGGATGAACCTGTCAAGGACCGTGGTGGTAAGATAAAAACATGGTAGCGGATGAAACCTTCAAGACGTGGTGGAACATGTCGGATGGAACCTGTAAGACGCTGGTGGAACATGTAAGCGGATGAACCTGTAAAGGACTGTGAACATGTAGCGGATGAACCTTTAAGACGTGGTGGAACATGTAGCGGATGAACTTCAAGACGTGGTGGAAACAATGTAGGCGGATGAAGCCTTACAAATTACGTGGTGGAACATGTAGGCGGGATCGAACGCTGTAAGACGTGACTGGATACATGTAGCGGATGACCTTCAAGACGTGTGGAACATGTAGCGGATGAACCTTCAAGACGTTGGTGAAACATGTACGGCGGATGAACCTTTAAGGACTTGTGGAGTGGAACATGTAAGCGGATGAACCTTCAAGACTGTGAACATGTAGGCGATGAACCTGTAAGAATGATGGAACTATGTAGCGGATTGAACCTGTAAGATGACGGGTGGGAAGCATGTAGCGGATGAACCTTCAAGACGTGGTGGAAGCATTTAGTGATGAACCGTGTAAGACGTGGTGAAAGCAGTAGGCGGATGAACCTGTAAGACGTGGTGGTACATGTAGCCGGATGAACTTCTAGACCGTTGTGGAACATGTAGCGGATGACCGCTTTAAGGACGTGGTGGAACATGTAGGGGATGAACCTCAGACGTGTGGAGACAGTAGCGATGAACCTGTAAGACGTGTGGAACATGTAGCGGATGAAACTTCAATGGACGTGAATGGAACATGTAGCGAATAAAACTTTCAAGACGTATGGAAGATGTAGTGGTGAGACCTTCAAGACGTTGGTGGAACATAATAACTCATTAAATAAGTTCATTCGGGTTGGTCAGATAATAGAGCTATCTGGTTAATTTTACTCAACCGTGGTTTGATGTCAACGTCAGCAGTACGTGATGGAGATGATATCGGTTAGCCAAGCGTCGTATTAGTCGATGCGTTTACTGGTTGCAGCGTCATCTTACCACTACAGAATTTGGTCGCGCCATTTCGTGGCTTTCGTTGTGAATGAGATTATGACTAGTGACATCCTTGTCAGTTCTAACTCTGACTTTTTCTCGTTTGCTGGTTGCCTTTTGGGATGATCGTGCAAGCACATGTTATCTTAATAGTGACTTGAAAAACTAGGTTCCCAGATGCAACCCTCTCGTATTATCGTATCAGGAGTAAATAGAAACAAAATATATTATTAATTATTCCTGATCATATCAATAACTAATGTTGCTATGATGCTAATAGCTTTATCAGTATATGCAAATGAATATTATACATATCAGAAGTGAAGATAATAGGGAATCAATCCCTATTTTCTATGTCTCGATATATATGAGTTATATATATATAGTACTATAATGTATATATAAATATAAATCAATGATCAATGATAATGATATATAATAGCATATATAATATACAAATATATAATATAAATCAATGTCTGTTGTTATAATATGGCTTCGTTGACTGCAGCAGTAATCAGCCTGCAGGGGTGCCTTATTAGAACCATCGCGAATAGCTACGAATATCGTAAGTACAAATTATTGCGACACTTCACTTCAAAAGTTCTGACATTTCGCAATGTTGTAGCTGAGAGTGATGCATCTTACCATTGCAGCAGCAGAACGAGAACTCTCATCCACATCCTCATCGGGATGCTAATGACTCCACAGCTTCCTTGTGACTCTCCTTCCGTGTGCGCGACCGCCTGTTCCTAGCAAACGTTAAGCAGTGTGCGCAGGCGTTGTTGTAAACGTAGTAATGCATGACCATGTAATAATTATTAACAATTATAATGGGTCTTCGATGTTTCCATGGTAACGCATGGCCATGAAATAATTGGTCTTCGATGTTTCCATGGTAACGCATGGCCATGAAATAATTGTTCTTCGATGTTTCCATGGTAACGCATGGCCATGAAATAATTGGTCTTCGATGTTTCCATGGTAACGCATGGCCATGAAATAATTGGTCTTCGATGTTTCCATGGTAACTATGGTAGCATATAACTATGTAATAATTGGTCTTCAATGTAATCAGGGTAAAATATGAGCAGGTGATAATTTGTTTTTGGCATAATTACCACGGTAACGCGTAACCGTAAAGTCGGTAGTCCTTTCTCGACATTTACCTCGTTGTCAAGGTCGATCACAATGTCCTTGGAGCATGTTCTATTGTTTTGTGGTGGCGTTGATTTGAGGTCAGCCTCGCAAGTGTTTCGTGCTGTCTCCGTGTGCAGCAGCTGAGTTGACTCAGGCAGAAAGCTGTGTAGAAGTTGGTGGAAAGGCTAATAACGACAGTTGGTAGGCTTCAAAGCATTCCATTCACTTAGCTCTCCTCCCTACCCCTCTCTCTCATCCTCTCCTCATCTCTCGCTCGCTCTCTGTCTCTCTCTCTCTCTCTCTCTCGTCCTCTTTGTCTGTCTCTCTCTCTCTCTCTCTCATCCTCTCCCCATCTCTCGCTCTCTTTCTCTCTCTCTTTCTCTCTCTCTCTCTCTCTCTCTCTCTGTATTTGTCTCTTTCTCTCTCGTCCTCTCTGTCTGTCCCTCTCTCTCTCTATCGATCACTCTGTCTCTGTTTCCGTCTCTCTCGTACTGTCAATTCAGACAGTTACACCGACCATCTCCTTATTTTTAATGCAAGGAACAACAGCAACAATCGGACAGTTATAGCCACAGATCATAACTAGACAGAGGGCACTCACGGAGAGTGCATACCTCCGCCAGCATGTAACATGTATGTGTTACGAGCTGGCTCGCTGCGCTGGCTGGCTGGCTCGCTGCGCTGGCTGGCTGGCTCGCTGGTTGATGCGCTAATATCGATCGCGCGAACACACTAACACACGAACACACGAGACCGATCACATAACCTCCTCCAACTCCGTTGGGCGGCGGTAACAACGCGCTGCACTCACAAGTATATCATTCCCGGAACGACGATGCTCCAGACTGATATCGCAAGCTGTAGATGGCGCCACGTGTGCAGCAGCGGGGCGAGCGGCTGCATCAGGCAGTTAGCAAGGCAGATGGACGCGAGACAGGCAAGCATCGTTGTCCGCTGCCGCGCAACATTTGCCACTGCTGAAACACAGCGCAGACACAGTCAATAACCCCGGCGCAATAAACAACCTGAGCGCAATCAGCAGTCCAAGCACTGTCGATGACCCCAGCGATGTCAATGACCCCAGTGCAATAAACAACCCGAGTGCAATGTCAACAATGTCAGTGCAGTCAAAAACCCCACCACAATCAACAACCCCAGCAATGTCAACAATGCCAGCGATGTCAACAACCGCAGCAATGTCAACAATGCCAGTGCAATCAACAACCCCAGCGCAATCAACAATGTCAATGTCAATGACCATTGCGCAATCAATGAGCTCAGTGCAATTCACGACTTCAACAGTATCTATGATCCCACTGCAATGAGAAACCCCAGGAGAATGAATGAATGACTGGAATGCCCCTGTGTACAACTCCGCCATGACGATGCGGCATGGCGGCTTGACTCACCGTAAACAAAAGAGCAGTTGAGTGCCACGCCGGCGCCGAATCCGACGAGGCTACGCAGGGCGAGGAAGGCAGCGTAGGCGGGCGCGACTGCGGCGGCGCTTCCTGCAATGGCCACCAGGGTGACGGAGGCGAGCAGGTCTGATCTGCGGGTCTGCCTGCGACCAACAATGACAGACAAGCATGAGTCAGTGAAGCCTCACGATGTATTGTTGGCTGCAATGTATTGTTGCATTGTATGTTTGTGTTTGTATGTTTGTGTTTGTATGTTGTTGTTTGTGTTGTTGTTTGTATGTTTTGTTTTATTTGTTGTATTGTTGTTTGTTGTTGTTGTTGTTGTTGTTGTTGTTGTTGTTGTTGGTGGTGTTGTGTATGTGTTGTTGGTGGCGGTAACCATGACTACCCGCCATGCGCATGTGCGAGCTTTTCCGCGTTCATTTTGTTCGTTTAGTAATTTACCATTATTTCGTAGGGGAGATGGTATTTGTTAGAAACTCTTGTTTTTTGTTGTTTATTAAACAAGTTCGAAAAGGCGTGGTTGTGGTCGTGATGGTGCACGTGGCAGGTGTGCGTAAGTGCACGCATTCTGTGCGCGTTCGTGCACGCGTGCATGTGCGTGCATCTGAGTGTCCGTGCGTGACGTGGAGTGCATTCATGTCTGTGCATGCGTGCGTTGTCTAAAGCCTAGCGCAGACCTGCGACTTTTTCACGCAACTCAACAGCGATGCTAGAATCGCTTTAAAAATTGCTGTGAAATCGCTACGTCTGCGGGAACATGCAATTGCAACTCGTAGCGATTCTGGTCCCTTGCGACGAATTGCAAGAAATCGAACTGTTTTGATTTTGAGCGACTCGTCGCTCCCAATTGCTCTAGAGTTGCTTCGAAATCGCATGTGTGCGCACACGCGGTGATACATTGACCGATCACTTGCGGTTGCAGGTTGCAGCAACGAGCAACCAAAAATCACAGGTCTGCGCTAGGTTTAACGTAACCAGTTTGATCAGCACCATTACTTACCTGTTGCATACTGCCACACATCCGAGTAGATATCCGATGAGAAAGACTTTCTCTGCCATCCACTTTAGCCACTCCCTCTCACATACCAGCTCCCACTGCCGGAAACAATCGCATATCAGATCTTATTACCCGAAACAATCACATAATTACTTAGCTGTCCATGTGTTACTTAGCTGTTCATGTGTTACATAGCTGTTCATGTGTTACATAGCTGTTCATGTGTTACATAGCTGTTCATGTGTTACATAGCTGTTCATGTGTTACATAGCTGTTCATGTGTTGCAGGGTTGGTCGTGTGACGGGGCGTCTGCCGCGGGAGCTAGCGGACGACGTCCTCGGCTGCGTACTGGAGTTGTTCAGCATTGTCGAGACGGACTCGGCGTGGCACGGCGGCTGCCTCGCACTCGCTGAGCTCGGACGTCGCGGCCTGCTGCTGCCGACGCGACTCGCTGAAGGTAGGGGGCGCTGCGGCGGGTGCAGGGGGGACTAGCTGAAGGTAGGGGGCGCTGTGGCGGGTGCAGGGGGGACTAGCTGAAGGTAGGGGGCGCTGGCAGGCAGTGAGAGCGGTGGCAGGTATATGATTGAGGTTTCTGTTAGGCTATTGCTGTTGCCAACTGTTGAATCTAGCAGAAGGTATGTGACGAAAATGAAATGCAAATTGAAGCGCAAAAACGTAGAGAAATAGGAGCAAATTAAAATCATTGGTTTCCGTTGTTATGATGTGAAGACGCAGAAATAGATCTGAATCAGGCAGTGGATTGAACTAAATTCAAACTGGGTAAAGGTAGGTCGAAATTTGGTCAAAAGTGACTGTGCTTTGTAAGCAAAACAAGTAAAAATATATCACCAGAAACTGAGAGAACCTATTAAAGTGATTACGTCACAGTAAATAGTAAAAAAAAAATAATCCACTTTTTTACAAAATATAAGTAATTCTGTTCACTTTTTATGGTTAAATTGCTGCATTATACTTCTTATTTTACTATATTGTTTGATGTGAACATACACTCGTGACTCATACATAGCCCATAGCAAGCAATTAATGTCAGGAACACTAATATCAAATCATCCTGGTTTTTTGGATTTTTAACTAGTTGAGAAACAATCTTATCAGGTAAGAATTTGACGATACGTTTAGTCCCGTTAGTTCTTACTTTTCATGTAAAAAAATGGCATAGAAAATTCGTGACATAGTCAATTTAAAAAGGCATATGCTTCATTCCTGGACTTGTTCCTCTATTCCTGTACTTCCCTCTACATCTTCGCGAATCCCGAATCGACGCTCGGAGTATGCCGTCTGGTAATCCCAACAGGTGGCGCTGATGGTTGTTTAGGTTTCTCGTCGTTGGCAACAAGCTTAGCTTAAGGTCACCCGTGTTGGACGGATACATGAGGTGTTTTGGCCGCATACGGGTTTTTTACCAGTACATACAGTCGTGCGAGCATGGACGTTTTGCTTTCCCTCCTGAAAGAAACATAATCCAGTTTACAAAGCTGAAAGAAGACTGAAATCTCCACGTCTCTTCTGTAGTCGTTTGGTAGCATACGCTACAAGGTTTTCTGATGTGATTATTTATGATTTCGTTACCATATTGGAGTATATACATATCTGAAATGAATGAAACGTCGTCAAGAGTGATCAACTCACTCTCTGTCCTCCCCGCCGTCGTCTGTGGTTGCTGGCAGATTCGTATCCATGGTAACCGGCAGCAGCATCACTAGCACGGATGCTGCCGCTGCCACGGCTCCAAGAATGACCAGTGGCAGCTCTGACCGGTAGTGTTCCTGCAACGTTGCAACGCTGTTAACGACTGCCGTTGGTGACGCGCTGGAAAGAGCGAAACCGCGTTGCCAATAGGTGGCGCTGAGATTGAGCAAACATGAAGCGTTACCGCAGTAGCTCTCACAACAGTAGCTACCCGAGCGCTCTCACGAGCAGCCACAGGTAGGGGGCGCCGCGATGGTGCGCGTAACTCACGAGCAGCCACAGGTAGGGGGCACCGCGATGGTGCGCGTAACTTACAAGCAGCGGCAGGTAGGGCTCTGCAACCATCCGCGTCATAAAAAAGACGAGCGAGATCAGGTAGGGGGCACCACTCGTCGAGAAGGCCTCGAGCAGGTCGAGACAGCTGCGCGAGAGACCGCAGCATCCGTCGTCATGGTCGTCGTCGTTGCCGGGCGTGGCCAGGCGACGTGCGTCGCCGTTGTCGTCGCAGTCACGGGATGCAGCGGGGCGGGGTCGTGTCGCAGGCGCGTCCACTGCCAGCACTCCCTCGTAGAGGTAGCCGAGTAGGATGCTGATGGTGAGGATGCCGGCCGTCGTCAGGGCGACGCCCGGCAACGCCGCACCTGCGAGCGAGAACTAACGCTTCAGTCGAGGACGCGGTCGTTACGGTTACGAGCAGGGACGAGGGATTTGGCAGCACTGTTGCCGTGGTTACAAGTGCGGGGCTAGGTCGTCATGGTTGTCACCTCTCTACAACGGACACTATGTGTTTCTCTAGAGTGGTGAGACAAAGACTGTTGCTTACATGCATGTATGGGTCGAAATCCTAAACGGCCCGCGGGCCCGATGCGCATATTTTAAGGCTCGGGCCTGACATTTCTAATACTAGCAAGCCAGACGGGCCCGTAGAAAATCTACGTGCACATTCTATTGCTGTAGTGCAGGCCAGCCAACAGTTAAGACAGCGAGGACACCAGGGAGGACAGTGAGAATTCTGACAGCTCATTAGTAGTCACTGTATATGTTCTTTGTATTACTGTAAAGAAGCCATTGTAAAAAACTTCAAATTACAGTCTTTTATTTTTTTTAAATTTTTGCGGTATCTAAGGAAAGATGCGGGCCTGTAATTTGCCTGTCGGGCCTGTAAAATCCCTTACCTACAGGTCCGAATGGCCTGTAAATTTTCAAATTAATTTCTACCCCTGTGCATGTATCAGTGAAGAGATGCCAACCACTACGATTTATCCGTATTTTATACGAATTTCTATTCCTTTTAGACCACTACGACCAGTTTGTATCAAACTACGAATTTCACTGTGATCGAAATTTTTTGTTGTTGTCAATTATTGTCATTGTTTTTCTATTTATTGTAATTTTTGACCCTCAGAATGCAGGAAATTGCATCTCAGAATCAAAATTTTTTCCGGGGGGCATGCCGGACCCCCCTAGCAAACTCGGGTCACTACGCGACCCTCGAACTACTAATTTGATGGCCAGAAACTACAGATTGCTTCAAATATGTGTTGGCATCTCTGTCAGTGCGTACCTGTGAGGGCGGGGGTCGCGGCGGCGGCGACAAGGCAACCTGCCGCAGCCAGCTGCAGCGCGGACGCGAGCGCCACGCGCCACCCCGCGCGCTGGCAGAGCGTGCGGGCGAGCACGAGTGCGGGCAGAGCGAAGACGCCGGCGAGGAAACAGCCTGCGTAGGCACTGTCGGCGACGCGGGTTGGATTCACGGCCAGCCCGTAGAACACCGAGCCAACGATGCACCTGTAAGTCAAGCCGTGACATGTAGCGGATGAACCTTCAAGACGTGGTGGAACATGTAGCGGATGAACCTGTAAGACGGGTGGAACATGTAGCGAGGTGTGAACCTGTCAATCACTGGTGGAATCATAGCGGATGAACCATTCAGACTGGGTGAACAATGTACGTGAACCTGTAAACGTGAGGAAATGTACAGGCGATGAACCTCAGACTGTGGAACATGGAGCGATGAACCTTAAGACGTGTGGAACATGTAGCGGATGAACCTTTAAGAGGACGTCGGTGGGAACAGTACGATGAACCTTCAAGACGTGAGTTGAACATGTAGCGGATGAACCTTCAATGAAGTGTGGAACATGTAGCGGATGAACCTTCACGACGTGGTGAACATTTAAGCGGATTGAACTGTAAGCACTTGTTAACATGTAAGCGGATGAAACGCTTAAGGACGTTGATGGAACATGTAACTGGATGAACCTGTAAAATGATGGAACATGTTAGCGGATGAACCTTCAAGAACGTGGTGAACATGTAGCGATGAACGCTGCTAAACTGGTGAACAGTTGTAGCGAGAACCTTCAGACGTGTTGAACATGTAGGGCGGATGAAGCCTTCAGGACGCTGGTGAAATGTAGCGATGAACCTGATATAGACGTGGTGTGAACATGTAGCGTATGAACCTTGTAAGTACGTGTGGATTCACATGAGGCGTATGAACCTTTAAGACGTGTGATGCATGTAGGCGGATGTAATTCCTTCAAGAGTGTGGTGGAATCATGTAGCTGGATGAACCTCATTACGTGGTGGAGACATGTAGTCGAATGAAACCTAACGAACGTGATGGAACATGTAGCGGATCGAACATTCAAGACGGTGGTGGACATGTAGCGATGAACTTGCAAGACTTGTGATAACATGTAGCGGATGAACCTTAAGACGATGTGAACATTGTAAGGCGGATGAACTCAAGACGTGGTGGAACATCGTAGCGGATGGAACTGTAATGACATGATGAAATTATGGCGGATGAAACCTTAAGACGTGTGGGATACATGTAGCGGGATGAACCTTCAAGACGTGGTGGAACATGTAGTGATGAACGACTGTAATCGTGGTGAAACATGGTAGGCGCGATGAACCTTGTAAGAACGTGTGGAGACATTGTACGGATAACCTTCAAGACGTGGTGGACATGTAGCGATGACCTGTAAGGACGTGGTGGAATACATGTAGCGCATGAAGCTTCAACGACGTGGTGAACAGTGTAGCGGATGGAACCTTAAACGGTGGAACATTAGTGATGAACCTTCAGACGTATGGAACATGTAGGCGAATAAACCTTCAGACGTGAAATGGAAATGTAAGTGGAGTGAACCTCAAGACTGGGGAGACATAACTCATTAAATAAGTTCATTTGCGTTGGTAGATAATAGAGCTAATCTTGGTTTAATTTTTTACTTCAACCGTGTTGATCAAACGTCAGCAGTACGGATGGGACATGTACTGGTTAGTCAAGCGTTCGTAAGTCGATCGCGTTTACCGGGTTGCAGCGTCATCTTTACCCCTAACAGAATTTGGTCGCGCCGCTATTTCGTGGTCTTTCGTGTGAAATGAATTATGACATAGTGGACATCTTGTCTAGATTCTAACTCAGGGCAGTGACTTTTTCATCGTTCTTGTTCGCTTGTGGATGATCGTGTCAAGCTACATTTATCTAATAGTGACTTGAAAATACTAGGCTTCCCCAGATACTGCAACCCTTCTCGTATACGTATAGGTATAAATAGAAACAAAATATATTAATTATATTATTCGCGATGCATATCAAATCATGTTGGGCTGATGATTTATAGCTTATCATATTTATCAAGTGATATATTTATATCTTTATTTTATCAGACAGTAGATAATAGGAATTAATCCCTATTTTCTACTCTATATATATATATATATATATATATA